GCTGTGTATGTGAACTTCGTGGTGCAATGCTACCGACAAGACGCCGCTCGTAACGTCGGACCGGCTCACGTCGAGTGTTTCGTTCGCGGTGAGTTTTGCGCCGTCATCAAGTTTGTTGCTGACAAATCGGGGCGATGCGACGACATCGTGATCGAAGTGGCTGCAGCAACAAAGGAGGTTGCGTGGGCGGAGATGCGGGACATTGTCATGTCGATGGAGAATGTTTTGCGCAAGTACCCAGGTCTCAAGTCAACGAAGCAGGGAATGCTCGAGCGGTACATCGTAAAACCCGATGACGATGCCAAACATGATCACGTTGTGGTGAGCGGTCTAGTTGCTAATCCATCTGAGCTGAAACGAAAGCGACCCAAGATGCCATGGTTGCCTCTAGATTTCGACTGGTATATCCAGCGCGCGTGGGAAAATCCGGGGAAGCTCGAAGAACTTCAAGCACAGAAGATCACGCTTCAGTTACCCCATCGAGTGGATGTGTTGAGGCAGCTCGTAGTCAGCAGTGAAACTCGCCAATTGCCAGCGCTGTGGACACTGTCGTATTCGAAGGAAGCATCAGAGATTGTGCTTCGCATACACAGCGACATATCAGGGCTGTGCTACCATGTGCCCCTGCGGATTACTGTCCCAAAGGAATTTGTCATGCAGCACGGCGACTCCATTCAGGTGAACTTTTGCTCATCTGATTGTTGGCTGAGAACGCTGGTGCGAGACTTATCGTTTTTTGCTGAATAGGCTGGTGTTTTAGTGCTCTCGGTTCTCTCCTCGCTGATTCCAACCGACATCGCTAAAACTGCCGTGGAGATGGCGCTATCTGGTACTGTAACAAATGCTTGATCGTTCGATTCGAGTTTGTGGATTACTGACACTGAACTGTATCAAACATTTGCGCCGTAGTATCAAGCACTGCACTAGATCACGCACAGACAGTCAACTCGATTCTCGCAAAGGCAGGTTTGAGTCCAGGCAAAGCAAGGTCGGCGACGGAGTTTGACATGCCTATATCATCGCGGGCGGCCCTTCTTCGTGATATCCTGAAGCTCCATGACTCAAATTTCGACCACTTGAAGGTTAGCGAGTTGTCCAACTTGCGCTCTGCTGCTCACAACGAGACTGGTCGTTTTGTATGGGTACACGAGCGAGAGCTCGAGGAGATGAAAGATCACCTCACGCCGCGTGACCTGCCTCCGCCACCACCCGCCTCCAACTCAATCTCTACAACAACCTCAACTCCAATTCCTCTCCCAACCCATTCTCCAAAGGCGACGCGAGTCTCCACGCCAGTTGTCTCGCCAACCTCCACGACAATTGTCCCATCAACCTCCAGGCCAATTGCCACGTCAATCTCCATCCGTGTGACCAAGTTGGTGTGGCCGGGTCGTGCGAAGGGTCGAAAGAAGATCTACTGCGAGTGGGAGATCGTCCATCAGCTTAAACGGGCGGGCAACGGCAAAACTGAGGAAGCAGCAGATCTGGGAGCAGATATCGAATGGACGTCTCAATCCGAGAAATTGGTCAACGTGTCATCGATCATAATGCTGCAAGAAAGCACGGTGAAGATCTTTGTGAAGCAGCGGCGTCATCTCTTAAGGTGCGTGATACCTGGTGCGTTAAGGGTGTTGGATCAGTGATAGCTAACTTTTATACATG